ATTAAATGAGCCATCCCTCTTATGTGATGTCTGCACCGATGCAAATTCAAAGCATTTTTCTGTCTGTTCTGATTTCATCTAAAGAATCTTAACATGTAGGATCTGATCTGAAGAGCCTAAATAGCGGTCATTCTAGTTCAGTTCAAACCTACTGGTTCTTCTAGGTGGAAATATACTCTCCTCCTTTGGCTTTAATTGAACTTTAATTCAGGAAGTTGAACACCTTGTATACACTCATTCTTCAAGCTCTCTGTAGCTGAAAGAGAGAAATAGTTTGCTGCAGAGTGCTTTAGCTTTATCCCATCGTGAAGTAGGTGTCTGAGATGTGTGAGAAGAATTCCCTTTGGAGCTGGCTTTCTGTGTCTATGGCATGTAACTGGGACCTGCATAATGGGTTTAGTCGAAATACATGACACCTGAAGGAGTACATTTAGGCAAAATCAGTCCTGGCCTCTGTCATTCATGACCAAAAGAATGACCTCATTTAGTTTACCACAWATCCCACAACCTTTCCTCCATGAGGCCAAATAATCCTCACCCTAACCATGACTGACTATGTGAATTGGCCCGCAAACATTATTTTAGTGAGTCAGAAAAGAACTCACCAAATCCTCAGATTTTTATGGGCTGCTAATTCCGTGATGGGGGCTTTGTGTGTGCTTCATTTTTTTGTGTGTAGTACCATATCATATTCACGAGTTGGTGCTGATACTTCACATCTTTCTTAGAAACTAAAGCGAATGACTACAAGCCCAAAAGTCTCTCTAATACATGGGGGATTACAGGCAACCTTCCATTTTCAGTTCTCATCCTTAAAACTTCACGGTCACACTCAGTGCATCTCAGTTCTGTCCTGAAACTCTGGGTCATCCCGAGCCCTCAGATTGTCTTAATTCCAATTATGACACTGTAATTCTACAGCAGAAGTGCCCTGGCACTGAAATCTTCGCRTTATTTCAACTGTCTGAGCTGAAAGTAATACTTTGAGCCTAGGAGCCAGATTGGATGTAGTCTTACGTAGATAAGAGTATTTTTTCCTACTGTCAAGCACGAGTCCTCTGAGATTCCAGCTTTTTTTTGAAGTCATTTTATTCCCTTGAACTAGTGATATCTTAACTACCAGTTTAAAGCACAAGTATCAAAGGAAGCCAGTGACAATAAACGATGATAAATGTCACTGAATGAGAAGTTAATCTCTGTCTACAGAGACGTATGCTGCATGCCCAAGGTTTTGTGATAAAACTGTTTCTTCTGCAAGGGAATTTTTTTTTATATGTGTACCAAACACTTTTATTATATGTAAAGTGTTTTGATAAGACAATTGTACTGTGTCTCCTGAAAGCTTGGTTTATTGACATTTGTAGTGGTACTTGCTGCATGAGGAACAARTTGCTGAGCTGTTTTGTCTTCAAATCCTGGAGACACACAGAAAGATAAGGGAGACTCTGAAAGCACAGGGGATGGAGATGCAGTGAGCACACTTCAGTCCTTCCCTGTACCGTGAGCCRAAGTCCCTTCTGGACCATGCCCATGTCTCAGTACAATCAATTCTCTTCTGCTATTACAAACCTGCCCTTGGGTTCTTTCTCAAACCAAGCAGAATAATGCTGGAATGAAGATGGCAAAAAGCAATTTTTGCCATCAAAAATCAAAATTTCTCATCACCTTGCCAGCACTTTGCAGGCCTGTATTTTGTTGACAGTCACAGTGTGAAGCCTAGGTAGCCTATGTTCAACTTKCACTTCTAAATACAGGGTTAGAAAGAGATGACCTAAGGATAAAACAGGACAAGAGAGACACAAACCTACTCAATCCTGTGTTCCTGTACCTCAGTCTCAAATGAAGTTATTAGTATAGTTCTGTGAGAGCAGTTAACAAGAGAATCTGTTAATTACTTATTTCTGTTAAGAAACTGCAGCAGGCTAGACAACCTATGATATGTATAATAGATACTAGAAACTGGCCCAATTACAGCACACTAAAATATAAGAAGTGCACAGTRTTGTGAGAGTTTCTTTTTAAACTCATAATGCATTTTCTTCTTCCTTCTCAGTAATGTGTTCACAAATTAAACAGTTGAAATATCTTCTGTTGGGAAATTGCATATGTTCAGCTGACTCTTGTGTTTCTACTACAATATTTCCACCAATGACCTTCCTTTCAGACAGAGAGACACAGGGTCAAGGAGAATCTGTTTCTTTGAGTAATTCAGAGTAATTCAAATCACWGTAATGTCAATAGTGTTATTCATGGTTATGGTTTGTGTGGGAATGCGAACATGTTGAAGGTTCTTTTTTACCAAGATTGCATACTTTCAGATACTGTATTAGGATATGTGCAATTAAAACCACAACTAAGTTATATCTGGAAGGAAGATGCCTTAATGTTTTATTTTTAGATATGTCAGGAATATTTTCCATTTGTTTTGGCTGGGTAATTAAGTGCTTGTAGTGAAGTAAAAGAAAAGAGAAAAGGAAGGGAACCTGTTTGAATGCCATAGRTGATGGAGTGTGTAAAGAGTCTMTCAGCAACCCYATTTACACTTTGTATTTACAAAAAAAARCAAAMCAACAACAAAGCCCAAACCCAAAWAACCCAAACCAAAGCTAAACATACAATATGTGTATAAAAAGCATAAACTCTGCCATTGTAGAGCAGTGAACACCTGATTTGTACCACCTGGAAAGCAAACCAGGCCATCTGCTTTGTATCAGCATGGCAGAGATTGCATTCTGGAGCCAAAGCTTCATCCAGACCAAGGTGTGAAGAGGATTTAATTGGAGAAACGGCATGAGAAAGAAGATCAAAGGCTTATCCTAAAAGAGGAACATTATCCATGTAATCTTAATCTACCCTTAAAATTGAAAAGAATGTGTATTGGCTTTTCCCTTTGGGGGTCCAGTCCTGCTACTTTCGCTGTGTCTGCATGTTGAGACTTTGTGCAAAAGTCAGTACAGGTACAATAAATTGCTTTAATCCTGCTCACACTCTCGACAAGGACCTGCAGTGGGATGGAAGATGGGCCTTGCTCTGCTCTCTGCCCAGGGGCAAATCCCTTTCCCAGCAAGTGACATTAGATTGTCAACAAGAGACCACATTCATCAAAAGCCTGTGGCATATTTTCTTATTTCTCTTGCACACAAACAAATTCAGAGTTCAGAGTCTGTTTGATATGAGATCAGCTTCAATAATTCAACAATTAACATTTACCTGTAATTTTTCTTCATGTATTTCTCTAAAGGATTAGCAACATGGATTTTTCTGTCAGAAGATCAGATGTCTTTAGCACAGGTGCAATTCTGACACTCTGGGAAGTGCTGGTGGCCTGAATTTACAGTAAACAGAAAAGAGGTCTGGTAGCAGGGCACAGTGCATTTGCATGACARAAATGAAATGTAACCCTGCCTTTTGAACATGGCCAGCCTGCTGGCAAGGTCATGGAGAGCTGTGAAATGATCTGGCAGCTGAGCCCCSCAAGAGGCATGCTTCCATTTCCTTACAGGAATATTTTCAGACTATTCCTATATTTAAATGTAATGATAACACAGATCAATTGGCCTCTTCCTACTTCAGGTATTGCTCAAAGGTCAACATTCACTTTGTTTTAAGAAAACTGGAAGTCCTGGCCCAGTGCTATGGTGAAGGAGTTATTTTCCTTTAAGCATTTCTGAAAACATTTCTGGACAAAGAAGTTTAGAGTGTGAGTGATATTGAAAAGTCCATCCTAATCAACTGTTCCCAAATATTTTTTAAAAGGAGTATMGACTCTCACTGATTTGATCTGAGTTGTACATACCACAGGGCGTTCCCCAGTAAATTTTGCTCTGATTTTTGAGCCACTTTGGTGTTGATTCTACCCCTAATGTAAACCAAAGTCCAGGATTGTTCTCACTCATGTCTGGAATGGTCTGCCTGTACTTTTATCATATTTTGAAGATTGCTACTGCTCATTTTGAAKCTGCAGAATAGGCCAGCAGAGGCACAAAGGTGACTTGAAAAACCCTGCTACTCACATCATTGCTGCTAGTTTCTAACTCAGCAGAGACATAGATGTGTTTCTCAGTGTGAAGAATGTTGTTTCAGTTACTCACACTTCTGAGGCAGTTTGGCATGAAACTCAGAACAAGGCGGAAACTTTCATTTTGAGTAAAAGGAAGTTTTAATAGAGCCTACATACCTGTGCCTTTTCATGTCCATCCCTTCCCACAGCTCTCCCAGACCAAACGTTCARCTCCCCAAACTGATGGTGGCCAAAAAAAGGAAATTCAGTTAACTGTGAAMATGTGTTTTCAACCAAAAACTATGCAACTCTTGAACAATGTGGGAAAAGTCAAAGACCATCAAATTGCTGCAGAAGAAGATTCTCATGGTATCTCAGAGGAAGGAGACAAACAAGGACATGATKACTTCAAACTGCCAAAAGTCCTTGTCTTTTGTCCACCTCTTTCCTTTGGCAAGCTGCAGGCAAACTGGAGGACATGGCAGAGACCTGGCAGGGTCTGGAGGGATTTTTAGCTCCCCCTTTAAAGCAGTGTGTAGCGTCCATCAGGTAAGCCAGTTTCTGTGTAAACAATATCTACATGTGGGCTCTCAGARTATCACCTTTGTATTTGTTTGTCTGAGGCAGGTGCTCCTAGTGATGACCAGAACATTCCTWCAATGAGCAGAAATGCACAAAACGGTGGAAACTTTTCGAAAATGTTCATGTTCAACTTGTGAAACTCATATTTCTTGAAAAAAAAAAACTCTCTTAGGACTACAAAAGCGGTTTTCCTCCTATCCTTGTACACAGTACATTCTTGATCTGACATGACTTGCAACCACAAGAGAGCACTCTTTCCTTTGAAGATGTCTCAGCTTCCCCAGAAAGCTGCAGATATGCCGTGTAAGTTTTGCAAACTGCTTGTGAGCTGGTTCAGTTACACCAGAGCAGCCGAAACAACAAAGCTTGCAGTTGTCTTTTGGATTTGATTGTGAAAAGCCTTTGGGTAGTTTTCAGATGACAGAAGATCCTGGGTTGCTGAAAGTGAGGAGTTCTGCCAAAACTTTGAAGATCCCTGTAAACTTTGCAAATTACCCATCTTTTGGAGACAATTATATCAAACGATATCGTGGATTACAATACATGAGAAGCGTTTAGAGCCTGRAAGATTATTTATGTTTGGCATTAACTCTTATGGTCATAATTTCAAGTGGAGAGAAAAGGAATACACAGGAACCCTCTTATTATCTTTTGAAATATGAAGATCACAGGAAAAGAAGGGTTTAAATTGTGAAGTGATGGTCCTCAAAACCTTTCTGTGCATTAACTGGCATCCTACACCTATAAAAACAAGGCTTTCCAGGCACAGTGTGGACCTCATGAGCTGTAAGCCTTGCTTTGAGATCTGAGTTTTTATACAGTACAGGAGGAAACTGCAGCCYGTGGGGCAGAGTACCTACACAAATGTTGGATTAATACCTTGGAAGCCAAGTTCAGGAATTAACACACCACTAGTGAGGAAAAAAAGAAGCATGGACAGCAATGAAGACGATGCTAAACTGTTGAAGAGGGCTGCATTTCCAGGAGCTGTGTCCCACATGTACCCCCATGGGGTACCCCTGAGAGAAACATTCAGCCTTCCCTTCCCTCTGGACCCATCCTACTGGGAGCAAGCCCGCAGCGGGCACCCAGGTGGCATCTCCTACATCCCATTTCCCAGCTACGTGGGCATCTATGACTATTCCTTCGAGCCCGCCTTCATTCGGAAGAGGAACGAGCGGGAGCGGCAGCGGGTGCGCTGTGTGAACGAGGGCTACACCCGCCTCAGGGAGCACCTGCCCAAGGAATTCGCTGACAAACGCCTGAGCAAGGTGGAGACSCTGAGAGCTGCCATAAACTACATCAAACACCTGCAGAGCCTGCTGGACTGCCATCCCTTGGGATCGGACAGCGAGGAAACGCTCTGTGCTAAGGAGCTGCCGGCATCTTCCCCGCGGGAGTGCAACAGTGATGGRGAGTCCAAAAGCTCCCCAGCATCATCCCCCTACAGCGAGCTTTAGGAGATGGACTCACCTCTGAGACACAAAGCTTCAAGTTTGGCTGGAAAACAGTTTCAGACCCTGGGGACTTTTYGACAGATGAAAATTAATAGCAGGGAAAGAAAAACGGGTAGGGGGAAAGGTATTTTCAGTCTGCCAAAGGATTTTAAATGTTTACAATATAAAAGTCTCTCAGGTTGTTTCAGCTGTGTTACTAACCTTCTTTTCCTCTGTTAAACTGAAGCAACATTTAATTCTMCTTTTCATTCAGCTTGTATTCTGTTCTATTTTCTTTTGCCTTTCATTCAAGACAGTAAAACCAGATAAATGCATTTTGGGAAATTCCCTTCCCCTTTCTCCTCCTTTGTCCAGTAAGTTTTATTGTCTGGTTCTTTTGACTGATAACTGAGATGCACTGCATTGCAAACACTGGGGAAGGTAAGATTTAGATAAAATGTCTTTCCCTTAATGTTTCAGAAAACTCACAGAAACACTTYTATTTATGAAACAACAACTTTTCAGATACAAACAAGGCTCTATTTGGAAATTAATTTCTTTTACAGCATCTTCTAAAGTGAAAGAAACAGCTYATACATTGGAGTGGCTATTTGGTGATTATTCTAAAGATAATTTTAAGGGAAATAAAGCTGGCCACTTTCATTCCAGTCAATGCTAGGAAGAGGGGAAGTTCTGTAAAGCTGCACCTTCAAAAGCAAAGATTCACTCAAGGTACTGAAAAAATGCTGCCAGACTTTTTCCTACTTTCCTGAAATCTGAGTTCACAGACAAAATCATCTTGATTGTTGGAAGGCCAGAAATTATCTGCTTAGAAATATAACATCYAGTGGTTAGACACTGGTGTGTACAAAAAGGGAAATGTTGAATATATCTGTTTACATCTGCATGAAAATGTAGGTATTTCTCCTTTTGTTTAGAATATKTATTACTTTTTCAAAGGATACAGCTTTTAAAATGAATACCTCAAAATCTATGGAATACCTTTAATTTGGATTGCATCTACTTAAAATGAGAATTTTTCTCCAATTTGCTCTAAAATCTGCCTTTCTCCAAGGCCAGATTTAAATAACATTTATCTCTGTGCTTAAACCCCATTCTGTATACCGGATAAACTTCTTACCACCCACTTTCCACACACCTTTCAAACTTTTACCTTTTTGGCTTATGTTGGATTAAATGTTTTGTATCTTTTTGTCTTTGCTTCATATCATGCTGACTGAAAAAATACTCATATATAAATAAGAACAAATACTGATCAAATACCTCAAAATGTGTCCACAAATTTCCTTTAAATAAAAAGTGTAATTAATCCTGGCTGTGTCTTTGTCACTTGTAATTGATAACGAACAGGGCAGCTCTGGTTGCAGGAGTAATAAATTTTCAGGAAAAAAATAGAGAAAATGGAAAGGAAGTAAATATGAACTRCCACCTATGGAACTAAATTTTATATCTAGATTTTTAAATGTAGGYAAGGAACAGGTTTGTGTTGTGGGCAAATAAAAATTATTTGGTATAGAAATACTCTGCTGCTTTCTAAAAGACTTTTCTCAACATTTGTACACTTTGAGTTACTCTGTCCATGGCAACCACAGGTGTTGTTCTTTACTCTTTACGTGGCAGCCAGCTCCATTTTCTAACCACTATTTTGTTTTTCTGAGGGCTGTTACATTTACAGAGGCTGTTTTCCAAAAACAGAGGTTTATTACCTTGACAGTTCAGATCCAGAGCCAGTGMACTCCCTTCTGGCTGTGCAGTGTTTGTATTTCTCACCTGAGAAAGAAGAGGACAACAAGGTAGAGATCCGAATGTCTGACTGGGTTCCTTTGTTTCTTGGCTTTTCTTCTTTCCTTTGTGCTTTTCTGGCAAGAGATTCAACCTGTCTCTCTCTTTGACTCRGTTTTGAGATTTCTGGAAATGTGGTATTGCTGCTGGTAATTCTGYGAGTAAGCCTGAAATGCATTTCTCCCTCAAAGCAGAGATTAAATCTTTGTTATCTATAAAAAACATGCACTCCTTCAGAGTACCAGAGGTGAATTCTGTGAAACATACTTGTTTGGAAAGCACTCTGAAGATGAAAAGCAGTTAATATACATATAATGACAATAAACAGCCAAATCAAACCAAACCACTAAAAATAAAAGTTGCCAGAATGACCATAATTTTCTAGGACATGTCAGACAATGCAACAAATGAATATTTAGGTCACATTGCTATCACAGAGGTCTGATCCCTACAGAGATATTTCCAGGAGCCTCAGTCCCCTGATTCCCAGAGCCATGAGCAGCTGGCTGGAGGATGGATTAGGCTGGGACTCTGCTCCCTTTCTTGTCTCGTGTGGAATGTTCCTCAATTTCCCAAATAATGGAGAATGGAAAGTATCCCACCCCGGGCCTGTGCTTGGCTGTCACTGCATTATTTTTTTTTTAGACTATACATCTTTAACAGTTCTGGAGACGTCCTTAAAACACCTCCCAATCCAGCCTCAGTGCTGAAAATGCAAAACCCAGAATGCCACATGTATTTTAACTTAATTTTATAAAAAAATAATTTCTGGATGAAAAGGAAATTCTTTCTGTGGGAAAAATCTGTCACAGACYGAACCACTCTCCTGAGGAAAGTTGTACATTTTGTTTTCTCACAGTTCCTGTTGTTACACAAAMCTCTTGCACAATTTTAGCACAAGGAAATAGAATACAAGATTTCCCAAATAAGGGTCGGTACTTCTGTCCAGGCATCAGCAAAGATTTAATGTGAATGACACATTTCAAAAGCTYTTTTAAGCTGTTTCTGTCTAGACAAAGTGTTTTTTCAAAGCCTCTAAAATGTATAATTATCCGGTTTTTAAAGCAATGATCCAACTTGTCACCATGAAAATCAGTTTTAATAAAAATGCTGACCAGAAGAATTCTCTCCACATGGGACAATTACTATTTCCAGGAAAGGTGATGTGACTGCTGCTATTTGTAGGCAACCACGCTACAGCTTTACCCAACTCTTGCACACCAAAAGCTGACACTTTAATCTTTCTATCAAATCTGAAAAAAAAACAGACCTCTGAAGCCTGCCATTAAATTACAAATCTATTTGTTTCTTGATATTATCAGCATTTTAGAGATGTGYTATCCTGGCCATGGTATTGCTTTTAATCCTCTAACAGCTGTTTAGCTGATTTCTTTGTAAAAGCCCATCCACAATATTTTCATGTTCTATTAGCCAGTGTCAATAATGTGGCCAAAGAAAACCAGAAGGCACTATAGAAAAGTCATTTTCAGACAGTGAAGCAATCAGGGCCAATTAATCTCACTGGAATAATGAGCAGGGGATGTTCACTCTCTCTCACACACACACACACACACACACACACACAAAAGTATCTTTGAAAACATTTGTCCCCAGCAAAACAAGATCTCAAACATTTTGGAGACTCTGAAGTGGCACCAACAGGAGAGGCCTGCTGGAGTAAGCTAAGAGCAATAGCTGAGTAAGGTCTTTGTAAGTCTGTCCAAAATAGAGTCTAAGTCAATGTATCTTCAGCAGTGACCCTTCTTCTCACTAGTAACSCTTAGAATACAGAGAGAGGGCTACAGAGTAGAAATAAATTTGTTCTAGGCAAATGGGGAGCAGAAAAATGGTAACACTGCAGCTGCACCAGCTCTTCTGTGAGGCTGTCCTGCTACATGGCTGGGAGCTCTGAAAATGCAGGAGSAGCACAATTCTCCATCAACCTGAGCGTGTGCTTGTCAGCAAAAATCCACCAAAAATGCTCACTCCTGTGTTTTCCACGATTCTTACACAATTGTTTTCTACCTTATTGTAAATATATCCGCTAACAGAGCGATGGAAAAGTTGCCCTTGCTGAGAGAACAAATGAGAGGAGCGAAGACCCCCTTGAAAATTTTAGAGACCCCTCAGCTTGCTTCTGATACGACTGGAGAAAGAGGTCTCAAAGACATGAAATTCCTACACACAYGAGCATGGGTGGCACCAGAATAGAGAAATGTGGCAATTTAGAGTCTTTAGAGTGGGGAAAGCTAACACTGACCCATGTGATGGTCAGCCAGCCACTGGGGCAGGGAAGAAAAAATGAGTATTTTAAAGGTTGGGTGGTTTTTTTTTGGTTTTTTTTTTGTTTTTGTTTTTTGGGGTTTTTTTTTTTTTTTTGGGTTTTTTTTTTTTTTTGTTATTTGGGAGGATAAAGCTACATGAATGGTCTGTGGGAGGCTGAAGATTTGAAAATGTGGGGAAGGTAGTGGGCAGTGAAGCCTTGGAGCTTGTATAAAGCAAAGCCAAGCCAAGCTGTATTTACTGTGCTGCTCACAAAGCACCTTACTTATCCCCATGATTTTATTTTGATCTGGTGTGGTTCTGGGCAGATATAGCAGTTTTTTGTGTTCCAGATGTCAGCACTGAATCCTAATCAATCTCTTCCATCTGCACTGAGATCACAAAGACAGCAAGTAGTTACAAATAAGTGGAATTTCCACACCTTTTCATGTATTCACTTTACTGCAGCACTCTGCTATGCTAGGCTGCTCTCTTGATGTAGTTTTTAGAAGTAAAAAGCACTGAAGAAGTTCCAGGCTCAGCTGCAGAGRGTTTATCCCGAGGGATCACTCGTGCAGAGGTGATGTGTGCATCCCCACACCCGGAGGTGTTGGAGCTCGCTGGGGTTTTATGAATGAAACTGATAATTAACTGTGTCATGCACAAATGGAACAAGCCAGAGGTACAAACACAGGAGTGAGTGTTGTGCTGCTGGTGCTTGGGAAAAGGGGGAAGCATGGAAGAAAGGAGGGAGACAAGAAAGTGGTTTAGAGGTGCAGCACCACTGGTTGATACCATATCAGCTGCATGGCTGAAACAAGGGAAACARGAACAAATTAGATATGACATCTTTGGGGAGGATTAATTCCTGGCAAAAAAACCTCAAACCACCCCCCAAACTTAATATATTTTCCTGCACCTTAGGCACACCACATTTATTTGCCTACCACTGCTTCTTGTCGACCTATTCTTGTTCATCACTGCACAATACCTCTGAGTGTATTTYTTACCAAAGTGCTGAGCAGTCGTGGGCAGGCTGTGCTCTGTCTGGGGAGCAAAGGGGACATTTCAGTGCTCAGCCCTGGGTGATAAACCCAGAYTGCTTCAGCCCTGGGCTTTGCTGTTTCAACAACACCATGCCCAGCTCCTCCCTCTGTGCTGGGAACACCACTGGAAAATATCACCAGAATGCCRCTGAAATGCTTTACCAGGAGCTGCTTGCAGCTGTGGTGCTGCCAGGAGCTCACTGAGTGTCTTATTTTCTATGCTTGGAGATAAACCTTCCTTTGCAAGTTACCCTGCACTGGCATTGCAGAGCTGCCACCTGCAGCTATTCTATTCTATTATTCTATTATTCTATTATTCTATTATTCTATTATTCTATTATTCTATTATTCTATTATTCTATTCATCCCATCCCATCCCATCCCATCCTGTTTACAATGAAGGTGGCAGGCAAAAATAAATCTGCCAGTCTCTCAGGATAATGATGCCACTTGCATGCCACTGCTGGCTAATGCAGACCATTGATGGAGCCAGGCAAAGAGCCACGAAAAGCCCTGCCCTGTTCCCCTCTCACCCCTTCTAGCACCCCAACCCCAGCAATTTGCTCCCAACTCACCTGGGCAATGCTGCAGCCCCTGTTTGCCATTKTACACCCCGTTGTAAGCCGTGGTGCAGATCCTGAGGGCCCTGTTGGGACAGATCAGAGCTGTCAGCATGACAAGCAGTACAAATGCAAGGGATTTGCCTGTGTTTATGTGCAGCGTTCTCCAAAGCTTTGCATTTTGCAGCACTATGAAAGCTTTAAAATTTCCATTTACATTAACAAGCCCATAAAGCATAAGGTTATTAAATGGTGTTTATATTATCCTGTCTGAGAAGCTCGTTCAGTTACCAGCTGGTTCAATTTTTACTAAAAGCAAAAACGAAACAGCTGAATTGCTCTGTACTAAAAGTGGTCAGTGCTTTCAGAGGTGAGTGAAATTCGTTGGCTCYGTGACTGAAAAACATGTTGCATTTAAAAATTTTCAAATTTACTTTTGAAAAAACCCTTTTAGCATCGGTTATTTTTGGCAAACTACTGGAATTTCACTGAGGTCACTGTCTTAAGGAGTATATTTCAMATTTGCACCTTTGGTGAAAAAAGGTGCTGTTTAGGTCATTTCATCACAGTAATCACCAAAAAACCTARTAAAGTTATTGTCCGTGTGGGTTCCAGAAGCT